GCTGTCAGACGTCCTCCCAGCACCCCCCACCCCGCCCCCAGCTGGACAGAGGCCCCAGCTGGCCTGGAGCAGGATTCTTGGAGGAAATTCTGTCCAAACGGAAACCTGGAAGTGGAGAGGGTTTAGCCAGGGGGAGTGCGAGAGTGGAAAAGGGGGGGGGGGGAGGGAACGGGTGTCAGGCAGAGGCGAAGGGAGGGCGAGCAGCGGCTTGGAGATGGAGCGCAGAGCGCCGGTGTGGGGAGATGAGTCGGACCAGATCGTGAAAGGGTCTCCGAGGTCAAGTCAAGGGCTTTGGATTTGGTCCTGAGGACAAGAGGGAGCCACCTGGGGATTTTAAGCAGGGAGATGACAAGGGTGGGAATGTATTTGAGAGAAATCACTCTGGCTGCAGGCAATAAGGCTGGTTAAGAGGGTGAAGGTGACGCAGGTTCCGAAGGTCACTGGTGGTCAGGGGCGGGGTGGACATCAGAGCACCGATGCGGGTGATGCCAGCGAGGTAGAATTGCCAGCGCTCAATTCCTGGTTAGATGGCGCGAAGAAAGGGAGGAGGAGCGGCTGACACTCGTGTCTTTGACCTCATGGAGCTGGGGAATACTGGAAGAGAGGCCTGGGGTGGAGGGAGGGGAGGTCCTCCTTTAGACATGTGCCTTTGAGGTGTCCGTGGGACGGATATCGGATCTGGAGGTCTGGAAGAGTGTGCGGGACAGGCGATGGGAATTGGGGGGTGGGCAAAGGGAAAAAAGGAGCTGGGGGGCGAACCAAAAACCCATTGCCATCGAGTGGATTCTGACTTATAGCGACCCTATAGGACAGAGTAGCACTGCCCCATAGGGGTCTCAGGGCTGAAACCCTGGGGGCTTAGTAGTTAAGCGTTTGGCTGCTAACCAAAATGTCCGCAGTTTGAATCCACCAGGCACGCCTTGGAAACCCTATGGGGAAGTTCTACTCTGTCTTACAGGGTCGCTATGAGTTGGAATTGACTCGACGGCAATGGGTTTGTTTTTTTTGGTTTGAATCTTTAAGGAAGCAAACTGCCACATCTTTCTCCCTGCCGAGCACCTGGTGGGTTCCAACCGTCAAATTTTCGGTTCGCAGTCGAGCGCTTAACCACTGCGCCACCAAGGCTCCTAGGGGCGAACACCAGGTAGATATTGTGGTGGGAGAAGTGAAGGGGCTGGGGAAATTGAGGTGGTTACTGTCTCTTGGCTTCTGTTTGTTTTCCACTCTGATAAAGCCCGCACGCAGGAGATGTAAGAACCACGGAATATGTAAAGCAGGAGATGGCCAGGCTGATCCCGGGGCCGTTGAGTTTCGAGATGGCAGAGCTCTGTGGAACAAGGGGCACGCGGGGTATCCCCTCAATTCCAGGGGACCAGGCAGCAGGAACATTTTTTGAGCGCCAACTGTGTGCCACATACCGCCCTCAAGCGCTTTACCCCGCGGTCTCGGTGAGCTTCTCGCGCCCAGCTGGGAGCGCCCTCTGCAGCAAGGAGCTGGAGGCCGGCCGAGGACGCGTCCCTCCCCAGGTTTTGATGGATTTGGGGCCAGGGCGCAGCCCACCCCGCCCGGCGCTCTCTCACCTTGCCCCGCGTGGGCCGCAGGCGCGTCCCAACTGCCGCCTCCCCATGCTGGCCCACCAGCCACAGCTGCACCTGATTATTGGAGCCCGCGCAGAGCGAGGTCCCAGTGGGCACGCGGATGCGGTAGACAACCATCTTGCCCAAGGACGTTTCGAGCCTGCTGAGGGGGAAGCAGTGGAGGTGGCAAATAACAGGGCCCGAGACCCCGCCCCCACAGCCCAGAGCTCAGCCCCCAAGTCCGAGAAAGCGGGGTTCTGACAGTGGGTAGCGGGTGTGGTAAGTAATCCTGGTGGGAGGAGGGTGGAAGGGGGAAGCAGATGAGGATTTGGACAGAAAGTAGACAGGAAGAAGTCAAAGCCAGGGCCAGAAGGTGGGGGGGTGTGGGGGGAGTGTGTACCCAGCAGTAAAACTAGTTCACCCCCGTCAAGGGTCATGCTTAAAGTTGCAGGGGAGGGTGAAGGGAGCCAGGAGACCGGGTCTGCGCCAGCGTTTGTGGAAGGTACAATAGGGCCACAGAATTAATTCGACCAGCTTTGAAAACTTGCCTCCTTTGTGCCAGGCTCTGGGGCCCATTCCCTTGGAGCTTAGAAACCTCTGCTACCTATCGTTGCAGGATAAAAATCCAAACTCCTTGGCATTCAGAGTTCTTGCCAACCTGGCCTGCTCTCCTGCAGTTCACTCCACACCCATTCCCATCTCCCGCCCCCCACTTAAGGCTGCAGCTAGTGTTGCCCAGAACCCACCGTGTTGTTCCTGTCCCCCATGCCTTCACGTTTGCAGTACTGCTGTTGTTGTCCGGTGCCCTCAGTCGCTTCTGACTCATAGCGACCTTATGTACAACAGAATGAAACGCTGCCTGGTTCCGCACCATCCTCACCACAGTTGATATGCTTGAGCTCATTGTTGCAGCCACTGTGTCAATCCATCTCACTGAGGATCTTCCTCTTTCTCGCTAACCCTCTGCCTTACCAAACATGATGTCCTTCTCCAGGGACTGGTCCCTCCTGATAACATGTCCAAAGTATGTGAGATGAAGTCTCGCCATCCTTGCTTCCAAGGAGCTTTCTGGCTGTACTTCTTCCAAGACAGATTTGTTCGTTCTTCTGGCAGTCCATGGTATATTCAATATTCTTCGTCAACACCAGAATTCAAAGGCATCAATTCTTCTTCGGTTTTCCTTATTCATTGTCCAGCGTTCGCATGCATAGGAGGCAATTTAAAACACCATGACTTGGGTCAGGTGCACCTTAGTCCTTAAAGTGACATCTTTGCTTTTTAACACTTTAAAGAGGTCTTTTATAGCACATTTGCCCAATGCAATACATCAGTTGATTTCCTGACTGCTGCTTCCATGGGCATTGATTGTGGATCCAAACAAAAGGAAATCGTCAACAACTTCAATATTTTCTCCATTTATCATGATGTTGCTTATTGGTCCAGTTGTGAGGATTTCTGTTTTCTTTATATTGGGGTGCAATCCATACTGAAGGCTGTAGTCTTTGATCTTCATTAATAAGTCCCCTTCACCTTCAGCAAGCAACTTGTGTCATCTGCATGTGGCAGGTTGTTAATGAGTCTTCCTCCAATCCTGATGCCCCGTTCTTCTTCATATAGTCTATCTTCTCAGATTATTTGCTCAGCATACAGATTGAATAAGTATGGCGAAAGGATACAACCCTGACGCACACTTCTCCTATTTTTAAACCATGCGGTATCCCCTTGTTCTGTTCAAAGAACTGCCTCTTGGTCTGTGTACAAGTTCCACATGAGCACACTTAAGTGTTCTGGAATTCCCATTCTTCGTAATGCTATCCATAATTTGTTATGATCCACACTGTCTAATGCTTTGGCATAGTCAAAAAAACACGGGTAAACATCTGTGATATCTGACAAATGTCATTACCTGAAACACCAGTGAGGAAAAAGGAAAGGTGAGGGCATTTCTGACACGTTCTCAAAATTTAGGATTTTCCATTCGGGGGTTAAAAGGGAAAAGCACACTAGCTTGACTGACTGGAATATCTCCACTACTAATTTATGATAGTGCCTTTGGATTTAATGTACAGAAGTTTCCTTGTTGGCATCCCATTCAATAAGGGCCCAGACGTCTACTTAGGAAGAACGACATCCAAAGGGAGCTAACAGCCCACGCTAACTGGGAGGGAGGTTTCCAGTGGCTTGATGCTGAGCTCTCTGCTTTAATCGTGCCCTCGTTCTCCTTGTAGACATCACACTTCAAATGTAAGCAGCCAAGCTTACACCCTCTAAACAAAAGATAAAAGGACTCCTTTTGGGGGAAACTCTGCGTGGCCAACAGAAATGACCTACAAATACTGGCATTTGGGGTCCCCCCACTTCAGTCACCCTCAGTGAACACATCTAGCTGAAAAGCCCCACGATGCACAAAAAGTTTCCAATGAGCATTTCATAAGGCTTTACTTTAAATATGAGAGATAGTCAAGCTTCTAGTGTGAAATATAGAGACCAAGACAGAGAGGAAACTTGCAGAAAATTATCAATATCAAAAGAGGGATAGCATGTTGCAACCATGAAACAAGAAGAAGAATCTATTTAAAAAAAAACAATGTTCAAAGAATAAGAAAGAGCCCCTGGAAATAAAAATATGGTAGCAGAAACTAAAATTTCAAAAGAAGGATGGGAGGAAAAGTTAAGGGAATCACCAAAGAAATAGAAAACAAGGGAGAAAAGATGAGAAAAATTAGGGAATAAGTCTGAAATTCAACATGTAAGTAATAGAAGCTCTTGAAGGAAAGAAGAGAAAGAAAGAAGTGAAGCAAACTTATAAAACAAACAAAATTTCCTAGAACTGAGTGAATATTAGCTCCAGATTGATATAACACATAAAATGCCAACAAAATAAAAATAAATAGACCTACACCAAGTCTAGACCTAGACCTGTGAAATTTCAGAATGCTAGGGACAAAGCCCTGGAGGCTCAGTGATTAAGAACTCGGCTGCTAACCAAAAGATTAGCACTTCAAATCCACCAGCCACTCCTTGAAAACCCTATGGGGCAGTTCTACTCTATTCCTTAGGGTTACTATGAGTCGGAATCAACTCAACAGCAATGGGCTTGTTTTTTGTTTTT